ATATATATATATATATATATATATATATCTAAATTATTCATAAAATATTTTTTATGTCAATTTTGTAATTATTTGATTTTCTTGGTGATATAAAAGTTAATTATATTATTTCATTATTTCACATTCAGCTAAGATACTATCTGCTTTGCTCAATGGTTTGTTGGATCGTAATACTGCTGTGAGAAAAAATAATGCGGTTACCATTGGACATATAGTAGGCTTCGCTAAAGATTCTAGTCTGGATAAATTATTTAATACCTTGAATACATGGTATTTGGAACGCGAAGGTACATTTAACAGTAACATTATGTGCTCTGTTATATGCGTCCTATTATTTTATTTTATGACAAAATGTAAATTACAGATGATGCAATAAGATTAGCGATCGGGCAAGCTTTGCAATCTATAAATAATTACAATCAGGAGAAATTAAAGAATTATCAAAAAATAGTTATTCCTCTTGCTTTCTTTGCAATGCACGCAGAAAAGGTACCAGGTATGTATATCAGTATTTATAATATGTTATTCTCTTCACAAGCATGCTTTGCACTTTATTCTTGTGTATTTTTACACATACTGTTATTAGGAAATGAAAACACTGTTGAATTATGGACTGATTTTTGGAACGAAATAACTCCCGGGACCGAAGCAGGAATTATGCAAAACCTGCCAGCAATAACCAATATTTTACATACAACTTTGGAATCAGCATCATGGACTACGAAAGTGCAAGCGGCAAATGCAGTTCATACCATTGCCTTAAAGTCAGGTCATAATATTGGTATAGATGACAGGAATACCTTATTAAAGATATTGATCAATGGTTTGCATGGTAGAACGTGGAATGGAAAGGAACGTCTATTGAACGCTCTCGCTATGTTAGCATGCAATAGCAAGTACGTAAGATACCAATTTGAAACTTTATGCTAAAAAGATTTAATTAATACTCGTTAAGTTTAATAGTTCGGATTTTATTACAGAGAAGCCTTAAATGCAGATACTGCGTTATTAGATACAATTGTAGTAACATTACATAGAGAAAGTAAGAAAGAGAACGCTGAGTATCGTCGACACGCGTTACAAGCGTTTGCTATGGTCTTGCATGAACTCGATATTGATAGGTTTACGGAAACATATGAAATTGTACAAGAAATACTGATTAAGGTAAGATGTGTTGATAGTAATATTATGAAGGAATAGTTGCAAACGTGAATATAATATTTATATACTTTGCATTTAGGTATCTGATAAAAATAACGACGACGAGGAGGACACTGCGGAAGAAAATAGGAAGAAAAAAGAAAATAACATAAAGTTGCAAGAAACAATTTACGAGGTACTTGGGAAAGCATGGCCTTCCACCAAAGAGACTCAAGGTTATAGAATTTGGATAAATTTTAATTAGTGACAAATATACATTTTTATAACATTCTGAACATATTTTTTTTTATAAATCGATTCGTGATTGTAGATAAATACTGCATAGAATTCGTGACTCACTGTCAGAAAGTACTGCCAAATAGTACAAGGTCTGTTCAAGTTACTATTTTGACAGCATTAAATCTCTTTGTGGATAGACTTGTCTTATTAAAAATAAACAAAACGGAAATGTCATTAAAAGATAAAAAACTATTAGATCACATAGGTGATAGTCTTAATAAAATATTATCATATTGTATAAGTAAGTATATACATTATAAATTATGCGATATAATTAAATGTATTAATTCTATTTAATATATGCTGCTCTATTAAAATAACTTAAGCGTTTGGGATTATTATAAGATAGTACTATTTTTAAATATCTTGTTTCTTCGCACACAGATATTTCGAAGTTCACCAAAATTAGAAAAGAAGCATTAAATATAGTTCTTTCGTTAGCAAGAAAAATGCGTGAGACACATAATGATGAACAACTTGATAAAATGACACGGCTTTTGAAAGAACTCTTACCCGATCTAACGAAGGATAACCAACCAGAAATACGGACCAGAGTAACTGATATTAAAGAAATGCTTAAAATTTAACTAGCACGTACATATATTAAGAATGTACATGGTATCCCAGCTCGAATTTATCCTTCGCACACGTCGATGTATATTGCATACTATCGTTGATGTTGGCGATCTCAATCTATAACAAAAGATTGATAACTATGGTTGCGTGTTTATTTAATATGTTAAATGTAGATGTGCCTAATTATAGTATTATATCCCTTAATAAAGTATAATTTAAAACAACTTGTTTGTAAAATTTTTTATTACGCCTTTATGTATTATATCTTAACAAAATAAATCTCGAAGAAGAGGTAATAAATCTAATCACTTTGTTGGTACTCTATTATACTGAAAAGAATCTTTTATTTATATTATACAAAATGCGAAGTCTATAAGTCATGTTCTGATATACAGTATTAAAAGTCTACAGAATATATATTTCATAACAAATAAATGATTTTTTTTCTTTTAAATAGGATTACCTAGGATCGACAACACGATATAAAAAACGATATATCAGTTTTATCTTATTTCCTTACATCCATGGAAAGAACAATTGTTGATCTAAAAATGTAGATGTCTCTCTTCTTATACTTTCCTCTTTAGCATCCTTTCCCTTCATTTCTGTATTACTGTTTTTTTTCATCGCTTTATAGTTTACTCGCATCAAACTAGGTCTAGGCGTTAATTTTGTTTTATTAATTGATGCCTATGATGCACAGGCATTTCATCACTTGTACACGACATGTTTTTTTCTTTTTTAGTGTTTGTTGTTACTAATTTTCTTTTTAGATATTTTACTCTTTCTTTTTTCCTTTTATAATACGAAGCTGAATTAGTTCTCCATCTTCGAGTTATTTTCTGTTGCTGAGGTGTCATCTCTGTAATACATTTCCTGATTCCTTTTGCCTTTTCATTTAAATATTTAAATATTTTCTTTTCTTGTTGTGCAGCCCACTTTGCAGGATCATTCTTTATTTTTTCATAACGTAGTCTCCATTAGTTCATAATTAAACATTAAAAGGATTATGAACTGATGAAGACTGCGAGCTGAAACGTTTTATGCATTATTATATCAGATTTATTATTTGATTAAATTGTTAAATACTTTAACAATTTAATTTAAACATCTTATTTGCTCGTCTCTTTTAAATTTTGTGTTATATTAAATTATATATTTTAAACAATATTTAGTGAATGTATTTTTTAATGCGTAAAATAAATTATAAACAAATTGCATACTATATGTAGATTATATGACAAAAAATAAAAAAACAATTATTTAAAGCAGAGAAATATAATTGATTGTAATTGGCAGGGATGTTGGACGATCTCTGTAGATTTATTTGTTTTTATCGAATTAAACTTTATTTAAAATCTAGAAAGTATGTAATTTGTAAATATATTGAAAGTATATAATTTGTAATCTCAAAGTATTATAATCATTTCTGGTAAAAATGGAACATTAAAAAAGGATTATGAATAATATACATTACTTTCAAATATCATATCTATTTACATTTATTTTCTGTCAATTTTTTTAACAATATCGATGCTCCAGCGCTGCGTTTGTTCTTGAGATTTTCTGTTAAAGGTTTTAATTTAACTAGTAATGTATTTATAGCAATTTCATTCTCTATGAGAAGAATTAATAAGAAACAAGCTCTATTAAATTTTATCCATTTTTCTAGTACTTTTGGCGTTAGGTGTGATATTAATATTTCTCCAAATGTAGATTCGTTCTTTTTCAGCAATTCTTTGTCATACTGAATAAGTTTCTTCAACATTATGTGTAATCCAGGATGTTCAACCACATCGTACTCGGTATCATTATCCTTGATTTTTGAATCTGCACTGCTAATAAACTTAGCAATCGATTCATACGCAAAATTCAATTTCTCTCCCGATCCCACTTTTAATATCGCCAAGGTAGTCATAGCTATGCTACTGTTGCATAACCATGTTGCTGTATTCGCGATTATAGCGTCAAAAAGCGGACCGCAAATTGCTTCAAGAAGTTCCTTTTCCCTAATATCGGCTGACTTCTTACTAGTGGAATTGTTATCACCTTGGCGTAAATATTCTACTACAACTGGCGAAAAATAAAGAGGTTTTCTCCTGGCCACGAGATATAATATGACATGTTTCCCATACTCATTCAGCGCAATGTTAATTAGATCCTCTTGTATTTCGGACAATATTATCTTCTGCATAAGAACGGTGTCATCTACGGAGTCAAAGAGCGCCAATAATGTCACGTGACCGTATTTGGACATACAAATCGCCTTTACATTTCCCTTGAGGGCTTTCATAATAATTTTCCTATCTTTGCTAGTACTATGCCATATACATTGCATAGCAACTCTCGCGCCCATTTTCGTTTGGGACAGAGTTATAATGTAAGATCGCAGCATAACTATTACCTCATTCCTATCTTCCATCGAACATATGCAGAGGAATTCCCATAGAATTGTTTGCAGCAGAGTAGAATTAACAAAACCTTTGTTTAAAATTCTAATTAGATTTGCTTTTACGGCAGATAGTGTAGCCAGTTTCATATCTATCGCAGTTTTAAATATGTCCGACAATGATTTAACATTTTTGTCTTTTTCCAGTTTATACATGTCCCCATAAAATTCTTGCTTAAACTGTAGCTTCTCGAGACTTGTACACCAAGTAGAGTACGTGAGTTCTACAAGAGGAGCTGATACATTGTGACTCATTAATTTGATAATATTGCCGTAAAATTCAGAAATAATCCCACGCCTGATTTCTTGCGAGCCACGCTTTAAAATGGCTTTTACGCAATTTTTCGCGTATTTAGACTGTAACATCTCCACGATGAATGGCTTTATCTCTTGAGATATAGCTTGCAGAACATGTGCCTCGCAATTTTTGATGATACACTGAACTACTCTGGACATATCGTGTGTAAATATCACTTTGTTGTAATGGTTTTTCAGCATATTGTGCAACGTCTGAGTTAATGTTACACGATCGACAGACTTGCAATCAGATCTACGCAACTTCTCATTGATCTGCTTAGCTCGAATGATTTTGTCATATACTGCATCATTATTTAATCTTTTAGCTTTCCGTTTCTCTCTAAGTTCCTTTTTCTCCTTCTTCAGTTGAAGCCAATCGGTTTTCTTGATGGTCTTATTATTTTTCAATTTTTTCAGATTTTCTTTTTCTAAGTTCTTCTGGTCTTCAGATTTTTGTCCAAGCTGTTTTCTTTCCTTTTTCAATTTGAGCAACTTTATTTTCTCAATTGCATTATCCTTCCCCACTTTTGCTACTTTTGTATTCTTTCTTTTTGAATTCTTTGTTAAAGACAGTTTTACATTTTTATCTGAAAAATATTTTTTATTTTTACACGTGACTATTTCTGCACCAATTTTCTTTTTCATTCTTACCTGTAAATTTATTATCCAGAGATTTTTCAAATGTCACTTTCTTTCTCTTTTTATTATTTTCTGCATCAATATTACTTTCTGCTTTCAGGTCATCAGCGTCCAAATTCTCTGCTGATCGCTTCATCTTTGACTGAATCTATTAAAAAATCATCAATATAAGGATCAAAGTAGACGCCAAATCTTCAAACTGCATGTACCATTTTTCACATATGTTAAAAAAAATACAAAAAAATTTCACAAAAGTATTAATTTTTATTATTAAGTCTGTTTTTTTAGTTGAATTAATAAGAACAGTATACACTTTTGGAATTTAAAGTAAAATATAATATACATATATTTAGTATTTATTAAAGAGAGAAAGAAAGTTCTAATATCGAATTCAGTCACTTGCATTACACTAGATGGACTTGGTACATTCCAAAAGTTGCTATACATAAAATTAACAAAATTAAGAGCATAGAAATAATTTAAACCATTAATTATCCCATAATGCCACGTTATTTAACAAAGTATATATATATACATCATTGTTAACATTGAGTATATTATGAATTATGCCATTTAAATATTTATATAAAGCAGTCTTTAATGTCCCAGCAAACGAGAATGGATTGAAATGGATTCAGATTTTTAGAAATATGGATTCATGATGTTAAAATGAATCCTTTTAAATCCTGAATGCATTTTTATCCATTTATAGGAATAGCATGGAGTATATCTCTATGTTTTTCAATCTAAAAATATTATAGTATTTTGTGTACATTGTGAATATTGCTTAATTTAAAATTCTGAACAGGAAATGTAGTTTTTTAATCCAGTTGAATCTAAAAATAATATCGGCCATTTCTGTACATCGTGAATACTGCTTAATTAAAAATTCTGAATAGAAAATGTAGTTTTCTAATTTAAGTTGAATATAAAAAAAAGTTTTTCTTTTAAAATGACTATGAATATTATTCAATTCAAAATTATAAGTAGAAAATCCATCGTTTAATTTAAAAATGCATTATGAATGCTATTTTATTCTCAGAAATATGAATAAGAAATTTTTAATTTCAATTCAACTGAATTAAAAAAAAGTTGTACCGTAAAAATATATCATGAAAATTCTCCTTCATTTAATAGTTAAACATAAAAAAAACTACGTAAATATGTACAAAATAAATGTTACTTATATAAATTCCTTATTTTTAATTAATAAATTAATTGCTTTTATGTATATTTTATATTAACAGTTTATATTAACATTAAGTAATTTCAAATAATTACTACTTTAATTCATTTAAATTATTTTATATATATATATATAAATATTTATATGGAATCCAATCCATCTTTATGGATTTAAAATACGGATTCGGATGGATTGAAAATTGCTAATCCATTTCAATTTATTTTCGTTTGCTGGGGTGCACTAATATACTGGATGCACAGCTAATTCAGTGTAACGATCAAAATCATAAACAAACAATCTAATATAAGAATAAAAACTAGACTTTTGTCTTTAAGAGTATAATAAACATTATCATAATTTCAATCTAATCTCATATAACCTCAAAGAGAGATTGAGGGCGCAAATCCAGTAACCGATGGAAACAACATCAATCTAATTTCAACGTGGAGTGTTTTCCAGTTTTAAACTTATGAAAAATCTTCTTTTTACTCTTATATATATCCACTTTTTACTATGATAATATCAATTCCAAATACTGCCAAATACTCCAGCACAAAATCAATTTTACCTATATCACCACGTGGTTTGCTTTCCGTTGCGCGTGCGCAATTCGCATTTTGGTGATTGGTCCGGCGAGTATCGATTGTCATTTTGATACCTCGAGAATCGCTATTCGATAAATCACGTAATCGCGAGTATCGCGATCAGTCACAAAATGCCCTATGCATATTCGAGTCGCTTCGTGTTCTCGCGCGATCGTTGCTTGAAAGCGAATTTCGCGGGTGAAAAAATTACTCTTGTGTCGCACATTGGATTCGCTCGCCTGGAAACTCATCCGCACGCGATTCTACGTTAATCTCGCAAGTCCGGCGCTTCATCTTTCGCTCAGAATCGGATCGGAACCCTCATTGCAGATCTCACATCAATTATCCGTTTGAAATACGCCGAAAGTGCAACTTATGCACGAGCATCGTTTGTATCGTTGTCAAGTATGTATATGTCGTGTTGTAATCAATGCTATATTTGATTAATATATATCAAGATTTAAATATCTCAATTTAAAAACAACGATACTCCATTCTTTTTTTTTATATCTTTGTAACGTCAAAGACGCGTGACAGATGTCATGCTACGCGACAGATCGTGAACAGATAATGGAAAAGGCGAGGAAATATAAAGAGCATTGAAATTTAAATTATTGAATTTTAATTAGAATTTGAATGCACTTTATAGAATATTAATTTGCCATATTTTCATTGATTATATTTCAACGCGACCGGTGAATATATGACAAGTTAATTTTCTATTTAGAGAAATTCAAAATTTAATTATCCAATGCCTATATTAATAAGATTGGTTTATACATTTAGATATCCAAGGAGGACAAGATCAATTATATTAAAGAATTTTACAACAGTTGCAAAGTCATGCAAAGCTGCTTCCTCCGCTAAACGTAGCCAATAATTTAAATTTGCATACTTGTATTTCTGCGGCATTTGCGACATCGCTATAGCTTCACACATTAGAGTGATATACTATAATTGCCTGTAATAATAGATAGAGTCTGGTCACGAGATGACAAACTTTTGATTAGCCTATCGTTTTTCGTTAACTTCAGTAAGTGGAATGAGTAAAATAATATAGTCTAAAAGTTACAGATTGAAATAGTATACAGGATTAATTTTAATTCTAACATGCAAATACTTTAAAAATAATGAAATTTTAATGCAAAGAGATAATGCAAAAGACATTCCAAATACAAGTTGTACAATACAGAAAGAGATGTACAATGGTGATGTATATTACTATACTTTTATCTGAGTTATATTCTAAAATGTTCCTCTCCGAGGAAAATGTTATCTGATACACGTTACGTGTACTATATCTCTCCTATAAGTAAAATTTTCCTTAGAGAGAACGTTTTGGAATGCACCCAAGCAGAACAACAAGTGATCATTATGTCAAAATCATTCCAAGATGATCATTAAAAGTCATTTTTCGATTCATTTTAACATCATTTTGACGTTATCGTGACTTGTAGTTCTGCTTGGATAGTTTGGAAAGTTTTTCAGTAAAATTGCATATTTCCGAAATATTTGCCTGTTAAGATTAAAATGAATCTACTTGTATAAAAAGAAAAAGTATTACAGTATATATTATACTATTCTATCTCTTTCTATGACTTTCGTTTTGACGAAATCATTCTGGCCAGATTCTATAACATGAGGGAGGTACGCTCTTTTGGCGCTCGTAGTGCTAATGAGTATCATTTATCTTCATTTAATATTAGATGAACACAATTAGAAAACAAGGATAAAATAATTCCAAGAGCACTGTTAGCAGCAAACGAAACGTAGCCAGGGTCGTCTACTTCGTATCGGTTTTTAGCTCCGCCCCTGGTTGGGCGACGAAGGGAGGAACGCGCGCGCGGGAAGCCGCGTCAGATTCCCGAGACAGCCGCCCGAGCTGCTTTGAGCAGGGCGGGAGCGGTTCGCAGCTGGTCTCGTGCCGCGCCTTAGTGTATATTTTTAACCCAGATCCGATTCGCGTTTATCCCGTGTGAAACGATCAAGTCACGCACACACACACACACCGGTCCGCGAGTGCTCGCGAGCGAGAGTGTGCCGATAATTTGTAGCATCGCGCTGCATCGAGGAAAATCGGCGCGGAGCAAAGTCGATCGATCACGCAACGGGAAGACGAAAGGGAGAGAAAGAGTGAGAAGAAAAGTGGAAGGGGGAGAGAGAGAGAGACAGAGGGAACGGCGCGTAACCGGCGCAACAGGTGAGAAAACGTGGCGGCGTGGCGGCTGCGTCAGCTGATCGCGCCGCTACGCCGGAAGGCGAGTGAAGGAGCGGCTCGTCTGACTACTTTGGCTTGTATTTACCCACTTCCCGATATTCGGGAAGCTATATTTGTACCGTTACCAACGAAGATCGCGCTATGTGGACGTGACCGTTCACCATCGCTTCGCGCCGGATCGCGTTTCTGCTCGCGAGAGGCGGCGCGCGTTCAGAATTCCGCGCGCGATAATTTTTTTTCCTGTCACATAGTTGCGCTCCGCAGATGCTTTTTTGCTTCGAGATAAATTCAGAGATAAGTCTCGTAGCGTAATTCGAGCGCTGTTAGATATCAAAGGAGCAATGGCAACCCAATCTCTTGAGTAAATAACATTTTGTTATTATCTTCCATATCAAAATCTCTGGCGAATTCGATTGGAAGCACTAGTTCGTACTGGTGCATATTAAAGCCGTTGTACACTGATTTAATTTGAGTATAAAAGTGAAATGCAAATATTTCAAATTATAATACATATTTTACCTAATAGGTAAAATGAAATGTACTGAGTGTTTCAGGATTTAATTCTTATGTTTATGATTCAATTTTTATGTTTAAACATACCTTGATGTTATTTTGTGTACGACGACTTTAATGTGCACTAGTGCACACTGAATGCGTTCAATTAAATTCGCTATAAATTAAGCCATTTCTGTAGTTGTGCTCCACAGTCTTGATAAGAAGCCTTAAATCATAAGTCGAAAGAAATTAAGGGCCGTAGCAGAAAAGCTGACTTATAATCTTAAGACAGTGTTTTATGACTTAAGTATTTTGTGTGTGTGTGTGTGTTTTCAGAGTAAAGCGTCGTCTACAATAAAGAGATGTCGGGAGTAAGCTGATTTTCCGGCCCAACCAGAAATGGTTGATTGATCAACCTCAAATCGACGCTGATTCAACGTCGATCAACAGCCTCTACTGCTACTGTTCATTGTAGACGACGCTTTATATCTTTAGTAACGCACAAAAATTTATGACTTATATTTTAAAGGCATCTCGTATTTATACACTTTTAAGACATAAGTTATAAGATAGTTCTTGTGCTAGAGACATAAGACTTAAGTCATAAGACATTGTCTTAAGATTATAAGTCAACTTTCCGTTAAAGTTCTAAGTGACAATAATTTCTATCTTTAAACTGTTTTTGTGCAGTCTTTAGGCTTTAATCGTTAGATTAATCGAATTGAATAAAACTCAATTCTTACAGCCTAAAAGCATGTTTTGTGGCAGATATATCGTCACTTAGAACTTATAGATTTACGGCTTACGATCTCTTAAAGCAAGGTTATGGACTTACTCTTAGTGAACAACGTTTATATTAACGTACGTACTTAATAATAAACTAAATAAATTTAAAAATATTTTATTTAAATTATTTAATCATAACGGCGTAAACAAAATTTGCACAAAATACGAGATGGAATTTCCCGTTTTGTATTATTTAAAACGATGAAGAACTTTATATTTGATTTTATTTACTAACTATGTGAACTTTTTCTTTCTTCATTCCGGTATAATGATGCATTATATATAAAATTGGAGTAATACAAATTATACACGAAAAATTTTAATTCGTGTGTAACTCAAAAGTGTAACTCAACCCCTAAATTTTAAATTATAACACAATTATTCATAATAAATAAGCGTTAAGTTATCAAATTTATCTTGATCGTATTTATTGATATAATAAGTATATCTAAATCTTCATAATGTAAATGTATTCCTCGATGTATTCATAACATAGGTAATCTATGAATCTAATAATGATTAATACGAGTACAATTGCTTATTAAGTGAACAAGTAAATTAATTAATTATCACTTTTATTATCTTTCTTGTCATTTTCATTAAACATTTTATTATAAATAATAATTTTTGAATACATATATTAACACAGAGCAGATCTGCTTTTACACGAATGTGCTTTTGATTGGATGTTATCTATAA